TACAGTTACCAGCTACAGTGCAGAAGACTGGACTGTTTTGGGGTTTTTTTGTTAGAGGACTTACTCTGAATCGTTAATCATTTAACACTGGCCACTTCTGGATGTGAAAACTAGGTTACAATTGTGTGTTACATGCAGTAGGTGTTGTGGTTCTCTCTCTGCCTGCATTTTTGTGATTCAGCATATGGAGTGGGATGCAACAATCAATGGAAACTGTTGCTGTTAGACTTTTTAGTCTTGTTCCTATTTTACATTGCTGTCATCTTGAGTAAGGAGCAGAGCCTAACAGAAATGAATTCTGATCCTTTTATACTGGGCCACCAGAGGGGCAGTCACTACAAGTGGAGTTGTGTCTATTTGTTTCTGCCAGTGTTCTCCTTTGACTGATCTTTATTTCCATGTCTTGGCTCTTTTGTCTTGACCCCATAATTGCATCTCTATAGAGTTTCATTTGCTTTCATTGACCAAAAAAATCTACTTGCTCACCTGAGTGCCATATCTAGGACCTTATATGTTAAACTCCAGGCAGGTTAAACTTTTAAGTGGGTGATCTTGCTGCTTGTTTGTACAGCACTGTATAAACTGACAATATTGCATGCCATCAATGATTTATGATTTATATTGCTGGAGAATGTTTAATTCCCTCACAGTCACTCATCAATCTTTTATTCTATACATATTTGATTAAAACCAAATTTTCCACAGTTAATATTGCTTCCGTCCTTCCCTGCCCTTTCCTTTGGTATCTTTGCTTTTCTTCCTTTGTCTTTGATTATCATTTCCTGTTTCAACCCTTGCTTGTCATGTTCTTTCTCTGGGATTTTCTGTGATTTTAAGAATCAATTGCATTCCTCTGGGCATAGAAGATTTGATGTATAGGGAGATTCTGACATGTTTTTGTGCATTCTTTTCTTTGGGCAATGTTTAAATAGACTCTTTCATATCAATCTACGAATAGATGCAAAAGCTGGGGACAGCTGGCATTGCCTGTCAGAGGAATATCTGTGATAATTCTGCCATGCTTGAGAGCTGTGATGTATCAACACTGTTATTCTCTGCTGTCTTCTTTGCTGTTTGTGTGGCTGAAGAGGGGCCCAAACTGAGAGGTTACTGCCTGGGGTGCAGTGACCCTTTGTCAGTGGTCAGTCAAAAGGTGATGTGTGTTGTCAGTCAGGAGGCCAGAGGCAAGGTCAGCACACCCAAGAGCTTGTGCTCACTCTGCAGCAGCACACATGGGGAGAGGGAATCACAGGGCCCTGTTCCTGTAACAGCTGATGCAGTGACAGGGCAGCATCCTGAGTCTTGGAAAAGACCCTGTGGCACTTGCACCACCAGCTTTCTAAGGCAGGCAGCTGCCTTCTGTGTGCTCCCATTTGATAGCCACAGAAGTAGGAAAGAAAGCAGCACTTCTCTAAATACAGTACATAAGTAAGAATCTTACAGGCACCGTGAGAGAGATACTGACAATACTGGATATGCTATTTAGAATGGATAAAATCATGAGTTTCTGGGGGTTTCTTCACAATAATTGTATAAAAGCAGCTGTTAAGAAATGTCATTCTGATTGGTACTGATGTTAAGAGTGGGGGTTTTGGCTTGTTTTTAGGTGGTAATTCAGTGGTTCAATGTAACTATAATTCTATCATTTTTTTGGCTTAGGGTTGTTTAGGTTGCTGGTAAGTTATGTGGGTGCATGGGATGTGAGGAGATAGTATTCACTGCAGGAATTGAACAGTTCAGCACAAAACTCTGCTCCTTTTTCAAATATGCAAAACTATGTTCATATATATTCAGTGAGCTCAGAGCAGAAGCTGGGTGCAGGCTGTCAGTGCATACTGATATGTATTGACTGCAGCAGAAGAGGGAAGGTTTATTTTACTTTCTCACAGTTAAACCCACAAATATTTGTATATATACATAACCTCTAAGTTTATCAAATGCATAGTGTTTTATCACCCCACAATGAAATGTCATCCCTAAAGAAGGCTGTTTCCTTTCTCTCTTTCTGAGAGAAACACATCCTTACCTTACCTCTCTTTTGGATTGAACAGAAGTCAAAAGATGCGTGACCCACACACATGTCCTGAAGGGAGTCAGTGCATCCAAGCCAGCAGATGCATCTTGCAACTTCCAGAGGTGAGACAAAGACTTGGAAAACTTTGTCACTTTATTTCCTTGTACCCATTGATGCTGCACATTAAGAAATCCCTATTCCAAACCTGGGAGATGGATTACACTGCCAGTGAGACACGCAGTTCCACAATGCAGTAACTGAGTCCCTGGCCAGGAAACACATACTGGAGTTCCCCAGCTGCTCTTTAAACCTGAGGGAGAGCTTCATTCTGCCAGTAAATAGTGGTAGATCTTTTATGAAGACAGTGATGATGGTTGTTGAGGATATTGCATATACACAGGAAATTCCACCTGAATATGAGGAAGAACTTCTTTACTGTGTGAGTGACCACAGCTGGAACAGGTTGCCCAGACAGGTTGTCGAGTCTTCCTCCCAGAAGATACTAAAGAACTGTCAGGATGTAATCCTGTGCTTTGTGATGAGCCTGCTTGAGCCAGGAGGTTGGACCAGATGATGCACTGTGGTCTCTTCCAACCTGACCCATTCTGTGATTCTGTGATATGCAGATCTTCTCCTTAGCACTGAAGACATGTACATTTTGCCCTAAAAGGGATTGTGCTGTAGAGAAGAAGATAAATATTAGAAGCTTTATGGAGACCAAGGAGGGGGAGACAAGGCAAGGAGGCTCAGATCAGTATAAGGAAGTGCCTCAAAACCTTGAATTGATGAGTCTGAGAAAGAAGACAAAACTGTGCCCGCCTGTGTAATTTAGATTTGTCTTTTTTTGCCTCTGGGACAGAAGAAGCTGTTATCGCAGCCCTGGAGAGGATAGTTTCTTGTTTTTACAAGGACATGAAATCAATCTCCTAGATAATTTCTATCTTCAAGTGATCTATCATTTGGCAAAATAATTCCATATTAAGGGTGAATAGAGTGTGCCAAAAGGTGAAAAAAAATCTGTTGCTACAGAGTGAAAATCTTGAATTATGATGTCATGGTTAGCCAGCATCGAATGTAAATACTTGCATCAAATTCATATCATGGCAGTTTTGTGATTCTGAAAGAATACTCTGGAGAGCTGGGCTAAGTATGGCTGAGCCATAAAAAAGGATTGAGATATAAAATGAGCTGTTCATCCTGCGGCTGCTGCTCAGAGTGTGTGTGCGTGGCACAAAGCAGTCCTGTTCTACTCCATGACCCAGCTCCAATGAAGGAACTGGAGGCAGCTCAGAGGAGTCTCACCAGCTTTGCAGAGAAGTGGAATATGTTGGACTGCTTTGCTGTACCTCTGACTTCCAGAACCTATACTAGTTTCTCTAGTCAGTGCTGTTCTGGTGTATGAGTTCACCTGGAGTGAGTTTGAGTATCCACGTAACACAGCCCTCCCCTGAGTCCAGTGCATGCAAAGCAGTCACTGAATTTGTTTTTAGGTATAAAGTCAGCCTGCCGTTTTGATGAATGGTTTTAATCACTGGTGACTTTATCAGCGTTAAAGAAAACACTTAAGAAAATTCTACTGATGAGTAATTCCTGACCAGTGAATTACTTCGCATCTCATGTTTCAGATCAATATAGTGAAACAATACCAAAAGGGGTTTGTAATATGGATTTAATAGGAGTTACTTAACAGGCACTTCTGCAGATTAGGTTGTGTCACCACTGGCAGACTAAGATCTAAGTGCGTGTAATTGAGGTTCCAATAGCAGAGAATCCTTCAGTATAAACAATGTGGATCATTAAAGCTTCCTAGCATTTAATTATCACTAATTAGTAACTAAGTGAGGCAACATCTTACGCAACAGACTCTTAATATAGTGAAGGATAGCTCTCCCTGTGTCGTGGAGAGCAGATGGGCTGGAAGGCACAGGGATAGGGGTCATCTTGGTTGAGACTCAGCTAAATATTCAGTTGTAATCTATTGGTAAAATCGGGTATCAGCGTTCCAGCATTGCTGAAATAACATGCTTGATGTTTAACTGTTATGTGCACACAGGGCACTGAGGGATCCTTTGGCATTGATAACGAGGAGTATGAAGCTATGCCTGTGGAGGTGAAGCTATTACCCCGGAAACTCCGCTTCTTCTGTGATCCCAGAATGAGAGAGCAGATGCTCCATGCAGCAATACAATGAGAATTCATGTCAAAGGGGCCAGTGTTTACTAGTCTTACCAAAGTCTCTTCAAAGTGCATGAGACCTCACTAACTTGATTAACCCCAGCAGACTAATAAGCCTTTTGGCTATTTTTACGCACAAGGTACTTCCATTGGAAGTGGATGATTTGACCGGTCTCAAAGGGGTTAAAAATGCAAATGAAAATTCTGAGAAATGCATGTTAACTTGATGGCATCTTTTTTTTCCCCCCTCCCTCCGAGAAGTCATCAGTGTTCCATTTACAGCACTGCAGGCTGAGTGCTGTGTGCCAGATGCTACTGCTGTAATGCCATTGTATATTAAAGTAAAACGAAAGCACACTTGTTCTGTGTGTTCTAAGAGTTTAGGTCTACTTTACCCATGTATAAATCTGGAAAAAAATTATTTTGGGGGGAGTGATGCTAAGGAATTCTATGAAGTGTTGGAATTGCCACATTAAACAGGTGGTTTGTTATCTGCTCCATCACAAAATAAACTAGAGATGGGTGATACCAAGCTTTGGAGCAAGTTTCAAAACTCCCGATGTGTATCTGGATAAGATGTTTATGTCAGTCTTTTTCATCTTGCCAGATTCAACAGCACAGAGTTCCAGTAATAATATAGTAGAAATATATTCCTTTGATCAAGTTTAGGCATATTACACAGAAGCAAATTGGAAAACATCATTGACCCAAAGCTGTATGAGGTACGTGTGGAAAGACTCTTTTAACAAGCTGAACGAGTCTTTTTTTGTAAGTATTCCTTTTATTCCTGTAGTAATATAACACAAGTAAGGGCATCCAAATAATTTTTATTATTCATCGTGTCTGGTTGCTCTCCTCTAATGTAAACAGTGCTCACCACTCCTTATGCAATCTATATCCCCTTGAGCCTCAGTACCTTAATTAGTTTTGTTGCTTTTCTGAGCTTTTGTTTAGAGCTTTGCTTTAATTGCTGAAAGGAAATATTATTGACTTAGGCAAGGTTATGTGTTGCCCTTCTTATTGTAGCTTATAAATTCACTTGATTCTGCCTTGCTTACTGGAAGAAAAATCATCTTTATTTTTCTGATGTGATTGTTGTTTGTCTGTAGTCCCTGTGTTACACTGTGATGTAGTCTAAGTTCAGCTGTTGATTCCTTGCTGTAATCAAAATACGAACATTAGTGAATTGACTTCCAGCTGCTTTTTTAAGGACTGCATCCTGGCTACATGCTGCTTCACTAGCATCCTCTGCTGGAGACTTCATAAAGGAAAAATGCCTTGAAAGGGAAACCAGGGTTGGGTTTCTGCATGATGCTGGAACTACACTGAATGCTCTCCTTCCATGGACTATTCTGTGGAGAAACTAATTATCTAAAACTAGATGATCTTTAAAGTCCCTTCTAGCCCTAACCATTCTTCACTAAGATCTCAGGGAGTAGAAGCCTGCTACTTCCTTTTCATAGTTACGCTGGTGATAGGTCCTGTTTTGTGCTGTCTTTCTTTTGGTTTGCAGCAATTAAGAGTGCCCAATGGACCCCTGGGTCACTCTCCAAGGAACATGTTGGCTGTGCTCTGCTCTTTTTGCTTGCCACAGAGACACCTGGGACATTGCTCTGCAGCCACTGGCTCGTTCAGAGTCAGGGGCAGTTCCCACCAACAGAGTTTTTCCTCAAGCTGATATTTCTGGAATAAAATGTGTTTTTTCTCAAGTGGCAGGAAAGACAAGGCAGCAGCCATTTCAAAAAGGTAAGCTTTAATTGTATTAAAAAATACCCATGTTTTTAGTAAGCAGTTTCTCTACAGAGCCACAGGCCTATGGGAGCAACCACACATCTGCAAGATGCAAACAACATCAGAGCTGTTAGAACTACAATCAGCCTGCTGCAAGGGGGGAGATGATGAGAACTAGCTTCTTGTTCATCTGTACCATTTTACAGGGAAAACAGCTAGTTCTCTTCCATGGCATCAGATACACAGCTCCCATTGCAATGTGATTCCTTGCTTCAGGGTAACCAAGAGCTCCCTTCAGAATTGATGTTAATGTTGTTCTGACGTTAAAGTACCAAGAATCATCTGAGACACAGGCTGATATTTAAATATTCATATCTGCATAAGTTGAGTACCTTGTATAAATACCCTTCAAGTAATTTTCCTCCTTCTGCAGTTCAGAGTTCTTCCAGTAAGGGGTGGTTCTAAACCTCTAACTGCAATGTTCAGAGGGGAGGTGTGAGGCAAACATTACATAAAATAAGCCAGGGCTGAACCCGCTATCTACACTGTTGAGGAAAGGACTGAGTTCTCATGTTTCTGTCTGACAGCAACACAAAAAAACTTTCTTTGTACAAACTCCCAAGACAGGATGGAGGAGTAGAATCCTAGGTCCCACTAATGAAAACACCCTGGCTTAAACCTACAGTCCATTCTAGAAGGGCTTAAAATACTGTAACATAAATAAAAAGGAAGGATAACAACCTAATAATGGACCAGCCCAAGGCACCTGTTTATTTTGACCACAATTAAACATTCCCATTTGAATGGCATGTTGCATTAGCCAAGACCTGAAATCTTAGTTCACAGGCATTTAGTACCACCTGTTTTAGACAGACAGATCACACTGTTAAGTCAGTACATTTGACTCCCTCACAAAGGGCATTTATGTTGTCTTCTCCCATAGTCACTACACTATTGGCTTCAGGGAGGTGGAAAGAAGACAGCAGCTAACTTAGAAGTAAGGGCTAAGACAAAAGTTTGGGTTAGTGTGCATGCTTTGTACCTAGACTTTTGTGTTAGGACAGAGTGCTTTTGCCCTGCTATTCCAGAAACCCCTGCCTTTCCACCTCCCAGAGTGAAGCTTGCCTGTCCCTTGCATAGTCTGTCACCAAGAGGGCCACAGCTACTCCCAGCTTTTTGTCCATTAACTTCGACAGTTCTTAAAAAGGAGGAAGTATCCCGATAACCCTGCTTTACAGAATAACCTGTACACTAGATATTTTCTCTTGAAAAGGTGGTACAACTTTCTTCTGCCCCTAAGGGTGCTGGACAGGTGAGCTCACCTCCTGAGACAGATGACCATTAGCTCCTAAGATACACTGCAGTAACTTCTTCATATATGCTGGAAAAGAAGGTCTGTAAGACAAATCTGAATTCTGATTTCATAAAGTGCCTTTCTTCTAGTATCCATTATAGTTCTTAATTGGCTCTATGCAGCTTGGCCTAACCTTGCAGTTAGAAGACTTTTGGCTGATTTAAATGTCTGGCATGGTGTCCCTTCTTCAGATTGCAAACCTAGTTTTTACTTCTCTCCCAAGCTTTACACTTCCATCTAGATAGGACAAGTAGTAATAATTCATTGCTCAGTGATACATTTCTAGTGCAACTTGAGTTAAAATACAGTTATGAAGCTCTTATTCTCCTGGTTAAACTCAAGGAAGTACCAGCTGAGAACCTGCAATGGCTATACCGTGACTCGAGTTTTGGAAAAGAACACACTGGACTGTCCGCCAGGGCACAGGATACACCTGGTCACTGTAACCACCATTCAGCCTGGGCTCTGATCACAGCAACTAACCAGAGGTGTTACACCAAAGAAACAAAAGGCACCACTGTAAAGGCAAAGTACTTTGAATGGATGATTTTATACTAATCAGCAAGTTTTGCCACACTTTCCTCCCTCTTTTAATTCAAAATACACCACATAACTCTCTCCCTTCCAGCTGCTGGTGTTCAGCAGAGCAACTATTTAGCTGTATTTTAAATGTGTGCACTTAACTGTTTTACCTTGAATTATGCTATCTCCTAGAACCACTTAAACTGGTTCCACACAAAACCAGCCTCATGAACAGGCCTTCATGTCCTAAGCTATAACCATTTGTTTGTATAATGTACCCACTTATCAAGCATTTTCCACGTGCAATAACAGTAAAAGCAGTGTCTTTTAGAAAAGGAGTGCAGGTGGAAAGTACTTTTGCAGCAAATCAAATAAGGAAGTGTTAGGAGAGAAAAGTCTTTTTGTTCTGTCAGGCAACTTCCTGACTTCTGTAGCAGTCACCTGGCAAGAGAGGCTTGGTAGAGAAGCAAAATTACAAGGAAGAGCAGAATAGGCTATAGCCATCCAGCTGGATGTAGCATGTGTGCTACTTCTACAATAATCTGCCTGCTTTGATGCTTCTGCACCCATAATATTGCTAACAACTGAAGACCCAATTTCTGGCAAACAGAGGTTTAATAAATGTCAGATGGTAATTTCTGGAGGTTCTGCTCCGTGGGGTCTAGCAGTGCTGTCTACTTCACCTCATGTTCTAACAGCTTGTGAACATGGTGCCCTAATGCAGGGTTGTTAGAAAGCCTCTGACTGCAGTGGCTGTAAAATTTCAACAAGTTTAAGGTTTGTGTCTATTTAGTTTAGCAAAAGAACTACTGACAAAGAGAATAGAAAGTCATTAACAGTTGACCACAGCTAAACTATGTAGCAAACCTTCAAGAAAGCGAGAGGAAAAATTGCTAGACACTAGTTTCAGTTCCTTTTTTTTTGGTATCTGAAGGAAGTGGCAGCAATGCACTGGCAGCTATATTTCCTCAGAGATTGTTACTGCAGGCAGCAGGTTAAACCTAAAGTGGAAGTTAGAGAACAAAAGCTTGGAGATTGTGGGTCACTTTTATACTTGAGGTGTCAATTTAAAAACAAAGCCATTTCTTAAGGAAAAGAGACTGGTCTTTCCATTAAGTGATACTCAGCTGTTTTTACCTCTCTCCCCATTTTTTCTCTGCAACCTTCTAAGGATGACGATGTTACAGTTGTGAGCAATTGACAAGCAACAGCATGTTTTCTTCTGTACAAAAACATCCAAAGCCTTGAAAAAGCAGGCAGGGGAGTGGCTGCCCAGAGACAGGCAGATCACAGGAACATAATATGCTGAAGCTCATACCAATGAACTGTGCAATAAGCCTTGTGAGGCCCCTGATCCCACACCTCACTAAAACTCCACAGCAAACAAAACTACCCCCTTGCTGCAGACAGCCTTCAAGGAAAAACAGGACACACCAGCCTCCTCCTTTCCAGAGGGGAACAATCCACAGCGGTCTACTTGGGGAACATTTGCTCTACCTGTTTTAAAAGGTGCTCACTTGCTTTAAAGTGGGTGAGACTTTGATGGTTCAGGCTCTGCCTCATCCTATAAATTGCAAGGACAAATAGATACATCAGCTACAGTTTGCATTTCTACAAACTGCAGAAAGCCTCCAACGGTGCTGAACTCCATAATGGTGGAAGCAGCAACTAATCAGCCACAGTTCAGGAAGAACAGTTAGCTTAAAGGTGATGCTACTACTGGCTGAAGGATTTGGGACAAAGCAATATTGTCACACCTGGAACCCACAGTACCATTCTTGGATTTTGCATGGTGATGGGATTACTCTTTACTGGGACAGCCTTCCTGGAGGTAATGACTAGTCCTTCATGAACTGAATCTTATTCTTTCCACAGCATAAAAATAAGAAAACACTGTTCATCTAGTTCTACAGTTCTGCCCAGGAAAAAGAAAGACTTGCTGTTAGACATTGCTTCTAGTGGCTGTGCCAGTTAAGAACACCAGAATCCAAGGGAACCTCCTGCAAACTTCGAAGCTGTTCCAGCTGAAAGGTCACAGACTGCTCTCTGCCTCACACCAAAAGCCAAGGACAGCAGCAGGCAGTGCTGAAGGCTCAACAAAAGGAGGATCAGCAGACAATGTTAGAGCAAAGGAGTGGCAAGTACCATCAGCTACAAAGGAAGGGCTGGTGACATTAGTTAAAGCATACTTATTCTACCCGGTCCAGCCAGCACCATCTGAGCTGAGGCCAGAGAACATAGTAACTGCAAAGTGGCTCAGTGATGTTGGTCCCTGTTAAATGGGAGACTGTCTTGCTGGTTTGAAGATTTTAAACCAAAGCAGCAGGAGTGATGCAACTAAAACCCAAAGGAAGTGGTAGGGTGGATTAAGTAGAGATGGTGTTCTTCTCCAGCTGTGAGACAGGCAGGTGCAGTCTTTGCCAGTTTTTACCACCTCGGGTGCTGGAAGTGAAACGATGCTGTTCCGGTAGGCAAAGTCATGAGATCCTGAAGCACCCCCAATCCCAAACTTGCTTCTGCCATTGAGGAGGAAGGGTGGCTTTATTCCAGTTCAGCTGCTAGAAGTTGGGTGAGGAATGATTAAAGGAGTCCTGGTTTTTATCATTGGTTTAACTGTCCCCACCAATAAACTTGGTAGGGGACCATGAGACTGGGCCATTAACAGCCTGTGCCCTCTTCAGTCCCCAGGTGGAAGGGGGAGTTGATAGAAGGGTTTTCCAGTCAAGTCTGAAAGCTCAGCTATAGCATTTCACATTGGTTGTCATCAGACAAAGTGCTTTCCTGAAGTGTTCAGTCCTCAGGTATCCAGGCTAGGGCAAAACCTAGCTATCACTGCCAACAGTGAGGATTGGTGCAAAGGTGCCACTGGTCCTAGCTAAACAAAACCAAAAAACACAAATGAAAGGGAGACAAAACAAACAAACAAACAAAAGCCCTAGAACAAGTATTCACTGGGAAGTTGAGGGGGAGAAAATAAAATCACATTTTGTTTTAAAATTATAAATACTCTCCATATAAAGTTATTAAATAACTGTGGCTGTGGTGAGTTCCAGTGATCCTCCTAAGCAGTGTCTGGTAGTCTTAAAAAAGTGATCTTTGCTCCCCATCTCTCTTGCCCTTGGTTTAAGTGCAGCAGGGGTTGTCAATGACTAGCATAACATCAATGCCATACACTTCCAGCAAGTCCATAAGGAAACTTCGATCCCCTTGGGGATCCAGGCCCATGCCTCGTGCGTGGTCAGCTGTCAGTGTCTTGTCCTGGCTGGCTGACACCTCCATCAGCGTCTGAAATATGCGGTTGTTCTGCTCCATGAAAAACCTGTAGGATAAAGTCAGTGAAGGTGACAGCATTGGACCTCCAGAAATACAGCATATTTACCAAACAGGCTGCAGAGCCCCAGAACTGCATTTAACCCCCTTTAATCAGAGATCCCACCTTCTTGGGTGATGCTGAAGTTTTCCACTCCCCTATGGATGACCCAGAATAAACAAAGATAAAGCAGTAACTTTTCCTTTACAGTGGTGTTTCCATCTGGTTTATGGGAGGCATTTCCCTCCTCAGCATCAAGCCGTGTTATCAGCCAACATGTGCCCTGTGGTCACCAACTGGGTGAATCAGACTTGTAGCTCCCATAATGTAAATGAGGAAACAGTGTTGTCATCCATCTAGTAAGCCAGTGAGTAAATGAATTCTCCTGGTGAAAAACACACCACTGAGAGCTACTTCTTACCTCCTGCTTTCCTAGAAACATGCAGGGCTATTCAGAAATCACTCTGACTGTGTCCCTGCAGCTCAGAGGCCTGCCCTGACAGCCCTTCACACAGTTTCATCCCATTACTTCTCACCTGCTGCAGACTGTAAATAGCAACAGGCAGTGAAGGGCTTCAGAGGTTGTAGATGTGTGGTCTTCATCTAATTCCGTACCTCCTGCTCTACACCCAGTTCTGGTTCCTCTGTTTGCCAGGTACAATACCAGCCACATCAATGGGCCCATCCTTCCCATGCAGGTCTTATCTCCAAACCATACCGCCCCCAGTGCCTGCTTCCCATGAACACTGTCCTTTCCTGAACCAAATGTTCTGGCAAGAAAAGTCCTATAGTGCTCGTTTTCAAAAATGGGAGGGGATTCTTGTATTTCTGATTGTGTTTTTGAAATTCACTTCTCCCTGTCAGCACTTAAGAGACCCTAGTAAATACTAATACAGCTGCAATTGGCTTCTCAAAAGGAAAGGAAGATGATCTGAAGAGGAACAACCCGTTTGGTTCTCAGAGGAAGAAAGCTGACTATGGAATTACGTTAAACATGATGTTTCATAATATGGCAAACCAGTGCAACATGAAATCACTGCAAGAGGCTCCCTAAACTTAACAGAGACCAAGTATCAAGAGGTAGCCACTCACAAGATGAAAAGGTCCTCTTCACAGGAGCTGCAATCCTCACCCACTTCTTGAGAATACATTAACATCTGCCTGAGAGAAGGGAGACAGATTCATTGCACAAGTGAACCTCAAAGCATTATGTGAAGACCAGAATCTCCAAGAGATGAGCTGAAGCAGTGGAACACTTTGAAAATACTATGACAAGGAAGAGAGTACAAAGGAGCAGTGTCCTCTTTATCCCACGTCACACAGCTCTCCTTTCAGGATCAGGACCACCCAGACTTCTGTTATTACCTCTGGTCGTTGAGCCGTCGGTACTTCTCCTTGTCAGCATTGTTAATTTTCAGGAGGGGCTGCAGATGCTCATGATGCGTCTTCACATTCTGGTTGTCCACATAGACATCATAGAGATCCCTTTTCTGCTCAAAGATCTTTTCTGTTGTACCTGCCAAAATCAGAGGAGATTTTCAGAGCAGCACGTCGCTTTCCCAGCAGACCAACTGTTCTTTCCTGCTTTCATAGTTAGTCATTCCATGCACAACCTCTTTCTCACCAGTTTTATTCCACAGTCTGGTGTCTCAAGACATTTTTGCAGCCTGAAGTTAAAAACATCACACCTAATCCATCATACTTACAGGCCACGTACGATACTTCTGTCTCCAGCATTTCTATGTCTGCCACATTCACATAGAAGAATGGTTTGGACTCTGGGACAGTTCCTCCAAGACCAGGCAGAGAAACATTTGCAAGGCAACAGCAGCAATACACTGCGGACAAGAGAAGTACATCCTGAGATGCTTTTGGTTTTCCCTCAAGGGCAATCTGAACCCCACTTACCCAGCCCTCCCGCACACTTCTATGAAGACAATGGTTAGAGCTCTGAAATGCCCCTGAACACCAGAACTTCTCAAGTGACAACATCCTGTTTTGGACAGGAAATAATTGGTTCTCCAATAGGAATCTCATGTTCTGGATTCCACAAATTCAGTCAGTGCTCTTATTGTCCTGTGCTAATAGGAACTGTGTTTGACAGTGCCAAATATGTTCTTACTCAAGAGGCCTGAAGAAAAGAATTTTGTAGGAAAGGCTTAACTGCAGAGTGAATGGTATCTTTGTGAGGAATGGTCACAATGCATTTTGAAGACCTGCATGATGTCTACCCCCTTGGTACCCACAGGTATTTCTGCAAAGCTTCAGCCTACTAGATCAGAGCTCTGCAGTGTCCCTGGAAACATACCTCTATAGCAGACAACTCCAACTGGGGGTGGTGAAAATATCAATATGCGCTTGCGCAGCAGGGCAAACTTCCAGAGGACAAGGATCTGCTCACCGAAGAATTTGATGAACTGAGACATACAGCCAGCAGGGTGTGTGATCTGCAGGTGGAGAGAAAGGGAAGAAAACAGCTCAGAGGTGAAACAGGGACACATGCACAGATGCTAAGTCTAAATGTGGGAGCAAGACCAGCACACAGCTTGTAACAGTCCAAGTAACAAAATCTTATCTAAGGCAGCCTAAAAAGGGCAGGAGTGACTGCTTACATAAAGACATATGAGACACCAGCAAGGAGCAGCAGCACTCTGACCACTCCTGCAGGCCTCAGAGCACCTGCCTCACCTTCATCTCTGGGTACATGTATCTGTGGATGGAAGGCAGCCAGTGGACAGGTTGCTGAGAGCCGGGGGTGCCCTTGCTGTCAGGGAGAACTCCTTTCTTGTCATCGTAGAACGCCTCTAGATGGGAGTAGTGCCCTGGCATCTCCAGCTGGTGTCTGGAAAAGAGAGGAAAAAAGGGGAGATCTGTAGTGTCTCCAGACTATTTATTTAGTGCCTTGCCCTCAGCCAACATCTGATCTCCCAGCCAGAAGGGGTCCTGGGTGCCTCAGTTGCACAGACTCATCCAGGAGGGCAGACAGAGCGTCACGATTAACCAGCAGCTTTCAGTGCAGCCAGAGAACACGGGCAGGACTGATGCCAGCAGCAAGCTGGTGTATGCACAGCACTGATCCTGTTTTAAATACACTCAGGTAGGAACAGCTTCCTTTTCTACCATCACCATTTTCCCTGCTAGATCCACTCAACACAGCTGAAGTACACACCTAGCCAGGATCACCATCATAGGTTTAGAAGCCTTTTGTAAGCCCTTAGTAAAATGGTTTTCAGAAGGAGAAAAGGGGAAGAACTTCTTGTCCTCTCACCTCTCCCTGGGACAATTGTGTCCACATAAAATAAGTAGGGCTTGGGTAGCATTTGACAGCCTGTTAGCAAAGAACAGACTGCTGCTAATTGCTTCCTTATGTCCTTCACCTTGTGAACCTGTAGCACTTTCTGGAGAAATAGTCATTCAAGGCAATCACAGCACAGCGTTGTAGCCGAGTCTCACTCAACGCCAAAAACCACTCTCCACGGAGGCTACGTTACCTCTCCCAGGCCAGTCCCATTCCCAAGGGAACTTACCTGACCTGGTTCTCCAGGAAGTGCATGTACCTATACAGCAGGGTGTAGGAAGGGGAGAGAATCCCCACGGACTTCATGCGGGCACCACGCTCTAACTCACTCTCCACAGGCATGTTGGCAAAGCAGGCCAGGCCAAAACAGAGCCCTTTCCGGAAATAACTGGAGACAGATGTTTGACAGAAGGATTAATGTTAAAAAGAGGAAAAAAAAGAGAAAGAAAGGTAACTGACTGCTAAAAATACTGATTTGGGAACACAGTTTCTTCTTTAAGGATTCCCCTGAAATCCCACCCTGCTATCTGAAGGGCTGAGGACAGGTGCCCCAGTCTTCTCAGGAACAAGACAGGATATTTAAGGCAAGAGTGCACTAAAGCCCCTACCACACATCACAGGCCAGTAAGGAATGCAAGTAAGGAAATAACTTGGAGTGAAGACTAAAAGGATGCATAACTCAGTCAATGCAGTGCCCTTCCTCCAAGGAAGACGCCTGCAGTCATGCAGTTCTGAGTACAGTCTAGCTACCTACTCATATTTTGGGTGCTAGCACATTGAAACACACTCTAGTTGACTGCAAGGGTTCAGTTCGTGCGCCTTTGAGAAAGTAACTGTTCTTCCTGCCCAAAAGGAATTGTGACACTGCAGTTCATTGCAAAACATTGCTGCATTGCAACACTGGGTTAGCAAAATGCACAAACTTCCTATGCCTTTCTGCTGAAGGAAGGAGCTAGCAAAGAAGAAAGTAAGCAAGAACTGTTTATCAGAACATTTAAAGGATCCACAAGCACTGGCAGAATTAAGAACCTTTTTCTAAGACCTGTTTCTGCAAAATCCTTCCCATTCCATTCTGCTGTTCTTTCCCCTTCTCCCTGGGCCTCTGCTGACAGTCCCAATAGTGGCAGTGAAGTGTAATTTGCCCCATACACATTAAAATTTGCACCCCACTGAGAAGCTGGCCTGTCCCATTCACCAGTTGGCCTCCACAGCCAGAGCTGTCACACAGCAGATCCCTGCATCTAGCTGGTACTTAATACAGTGCTGAAAGTGTCTGAAAAGTACCTTTGGCTCAGCTAGAAACAGTTTAGCAGCACATTTATGCAGGATGTATATTCCTGGATGGTATTTTTTCTTGCATTTTCTGAATTAAGGGATGGTGGTGTAGATGTACAACTAAGAAAAGGAAGTAGTAACATAACATAGCTCAAACATACTCACATGAAATCTGACTGGATTTTGTGGGACCCGCTTGCCATGGATTTGAATTCCACACCTTCCAAATCTATATCTTGGGGTAAACACCACTCCACCATGTTACCTGCAGAGAAGCAAAGTTATTTGGGTAAGCTTGAATACAGTACTCATTTCTAAAGTGCAAAGAGCATCAACAGCAGGTTGTTGCTTTTATAACACGGAGATGCCAGCAGTGTGCCCTAACACAGCTCCTGAACTCCTAAATTGTCACAGACAGTAGCTGACATACAGTACTCCACGCATCTCGTGCAAACTCGTTACTGTTGTAACTCAGATATTGCAGGACTTTTGGGGCCATTTCTGAAGCTGGTGCTAGACTGGGGGGCTATACTTGATAAACTTAATCACAGAGCAGCTACAATTTTACCTGACAGTGGATAAGCTTTGGTCTACGCGAGTATCCCATACAGAAAGAACCCAAACTATAGACTGCTGCTCTTTAGGATGAGTTTCTGTGATAGCTCACACCACCACCAATACTGTCCTTTGGCTGTGCTTGGCAGGGCTGGTCAAACAGGAACCCCTAAGCCATCATCCCAGTCATCACTACTTCCCTGAAATCTCTCCTATTTTCTTTAGGATAGGAGATGTTAGTTGAAGCTTTATATGGAGGCTGAGGCGATGAAGGTATGCAATGTGTTTGTGTATGCTAGAATAACCAAACAAAACAGCACATAAACTACAACCTAGATCAAGATTAGCAAACATCTGTCACCTGCCAAGCCAGCCAGAAAGCATGCAGTTGTTCCGGGGAAAAGGCCACCTGAGGAGCCTGATTCTGGAACAGATGATATCAGAGAAGTCACAAAATGTCCCTATAGCAAATGAAGTCCAGCAGCAAGTTTACCACAGACAAAAAAAGGGGTGAATTCTCACGCTTTCCCGTGCCAGCCTTTCAGAGCCTCACCCGCTTACCTGGGCACTCCCACTGCACCGAGCTGTGCTCCAGGGTTACCCACTGAGTTTCTGTTCTCTGTCAGTCTGCCCACAGCATTTGAAATAATGTGGCTTAGTTTTAAAAACAAGGCAAACAAACATTCTTCAGTATAATGCAATGGCAGATGCAGCACAAAGGTGCTTCCTACAGGTACAGTCCTTCCCCTGCCCTTTGGGGTGAGCATCCCAGCTGTGCTTGCACCAACAGCACACATTTGGAAGGGTCTTACACTCAGCTGAGACTCTTGGAGATATTTGAATATGAGGCCTCATTTCTGAAGCCTGTCTTTTGTCTCATTACTCATACTGCACAAGTACATGCCTGCATTCTCACACAGGAATTGGGCTTAGCTACTGACATTTAAATAGGCTATTTTTCTTCACACGTAGATGCTGTATTCAGCAGACCTCCCCCAGCCCTGCCTGGCAAGGACTTCAAAAAAAACCCAGCAGCGTTAGGCATGGCAACAGGAGAAGTTTGCATCCAACTAACCACTTCTAGTGCACAAGGAGACCTCTCCCGCAGAGCTGGGCTGGCCGGGGAGCAGCAGGAGCCTCGTGACCCCAAGCCCAGCTCTGTGCGATCACAGGCGAAACCACAGAGCTCTGCTGTGAAGCGCCCTCGCCTCTGAGGCGTGTGAAAGGCTGGCAGGGAAAGCCAATGACATCATGTCAGCCTGCGCGGTCCCCTGTAGGTTTTGCATATTATATATAGATGGTGGCTTTTGTTGTTTGGGGTTTTGTGTGTGGGTGGGTTTGGCTTTCTTTTTAAAGGCACAAGACACTTCCTTGAAAGAGTGAGGAACTCAACCTTCGAGACTGACTGTTGCCTCTTAGCCACAAAATTGTGGTTAAGGCCAAGATCTGCTTTTAAGCCTTGCACCAGAGAGGATCACTTACTGGTAGATTACCTGTAGATTAAGAGATCGATATACAAGAGTGCCATCAGCAGCAAAAGAAATTGGCTTTGCTCAGTTTAGTCACAAACACTGTCAGGTGTCATATCCACTGCAGAGGTGTCCAAGTGGACATGGCTCAAACAATGTCTGTTCTGTAGCAGTTATAAGGAAAGAACTCCTTGAAACAGATCTTTGTCCTACATGTGACCACAAAACCAACTCACATATCATGCAGCTTTTTTTTTTTTTCCTAGGATCTGTCAGGAGCAACCTGCACCTGCACTCCTGGCTGTTCCTCACGCCACCTTGCCCTGGGAACATACGGGCGACGTGGCAGTCGGAGAACAAACGTGGAGATAAAAAAATAAGAAAGTTGGTCTGGTGAAACAGCAGAGCAAACAAAGGAGAGACTTCAGATGCGATAGCGACTGCCGGCCTGCCTGAGAAACTGGAGGAGGGAGCAACGTTGTAGAAAAACAGGAAGCATTGCCCTTCCCCGTGGAGAAAGCAGGTCTCGTGCGCACAGGAAACTTTCCAAGTGAGAGTGACCCAGTGTCAGAGAGCAGGTGAGTCATTTTGCTGAGAGTTAAATCTGCAGATCTGATCTCTTAGGAGCAATCTCCCAGCTTCAGGTCAGGTCAAAATCAACACTCAGTTTCTGGTGTGCAAAGTTTTGGATGTTCTTCCTCTTTCTCTTGTATTTTCTTTCCACTGGATTTGCACATCCTTACAAAAAAGATAGTTGCACTAGCATTTGGGGATCATCACCTGGCCCTCCTCAGCATTAGATGTTTCCCAAGAGCTTTAGGGTACCCAACTGTGCAGTGCTACCATGTTGTGCCAGCACAGGAGAAGCATAAAGTGTGACCTAACCATACACAAGGTTCACCATGCTGGAGCTGAGGACAGCACCACTGATTTAGAAGCTGCCTCTGGCTCTTATGTTCAGTCACTCACATGAGCACTGACACAGTCACAGGGACACCGGAACTGTAACAGTGACCTGGCAACCCCACAACCCACCTTGTGAACTCATTGCATGCAACTGCTGTACACTGAGCTCGTCTGCTTCAAGCCCCTCTAAATTCAGGAGAAAAGCCGTTACATTCTTTATTGGCATAGTCACCACTTCATCCTTCTACAGTAAAACATCTCCTGCCCAATTGCTCGCCTAGTTGAGCAGACACTACCTGGCATAACTACCAGCCCAGCCACCACCAGAAATTTTGCCTTTCATATGCCTCAGCAAGCTGCCAAAGGAGGTCTGGTGTGCTCATCCTGGGCAGGATCAAGCAGGTTTCCAGCTCAGACACTAACTGGATGATTTTCTTTAAGTCACACATACAAGGACCAGATACCCTTATGAACATCACAGAAGTCCTTCACACCCTCTGATGTGGTTGACCCAGGAATTGCCATATCCTCTTTCTGACTCTAGCAAGTTCAGACCACTCAAGATCTTTTTTCAGGTCCACATCTTTCATAGGGCACTTTGCTCTCCACCTGTGAAGCTGACATGTGTACCTCACAGTCCTGTTATGCTCCTTACATTCATCATCCGTACTGAGTAGCAGCTGGAGGATGAATCTTCCTGGACTTGACAGACTACTCCAAGGCTGATGACACCCAGCATTAATTGCACATCACATGTGAGAAGAGCTGTTTCCCAACTTTCCTTGGACTTCATTCAAAGCAACAGCTGGCTCAGACAAACTCCTGAGAAAGCTCAGCTTTCTGCCAACCAAGAAAATCTCACCATTTCATAGAAGGCATATGCTCTCAGATTGAAAGACAACCTGCTGTTGCTGCAATCATCCAGACTCTTTCATGTTTTGGATACTTAGGAGAAACACCTCTCCTTCCCATCTCCTGTTGGAAAGATGACATCTAATTTCATTCTGGATTTTGAAAAGTCAAGAGCCTCTGACATCTAGATTGAAGACACCTCTCTCTGGTGCCGTATGGAAGGGGTAATTTCTTGAAAGCCCTTGGGTGTTTGAGGACACAGCAGCCATGCTGTCTGGCAGTGTGCATTTCTGACAGCACATCACACCTGGGGCTTCCTTCTCTTCACTACTTCTTTAGGATTTTCTGTTCAAGATCAGCATCCAGTCTTTACTATCAGGACCCCCTTGTGAGCATGATGTCTGTTACTTTCCCTTTCCACTGAAGAGCAAACCCCACTATGCTTCACAGAGCTCTCTCCTGTCTCTAGTACTTTTGCTATGGATTTGCTAAGGGAAGTGCCTGTCTACAGAGGAAGGAGGAGCTTGCTTCCACACCTGGATGCAAATGGGCTCCTGAATCTCCCAAGCTGATTCCTAAACTTTCTGACTGTACCAAGTCTTTCAGCTATGCACCACTCTTGCCTTTTTACCCCACCTGGCAGCCAAAAGACCCAACAATTTGTCTCAGGACATCAGACCCCTGCACACCTCTGCTCACAGGTGCCAGGCAGGTGCTAACTTCCTGTGTCGTAACATCCTGTTTGTGGATACCACTGGAGCACAGGACTAGGAAAACAAAGTTAAGATGTTTTCTGAAATGCTGATTTACAGATTTGAAATAAATAACCTCTGTCAGTAAAAGAAGTGATAGAACATCGAGGTCCAACAGCACTGAGGGAGATGGATATGGCAGCAAAAAGTGGAAAATACATTCCCTTGCTGTTCTCCTGTCCCCTCCTGGATTGCAGCACTCCTTCAAAGCACTAAGTCCCAGAGATCCTACCAGAGGCCAGCTTCTAAACACACCAGTCACTAAAAAATACACAGCCGAGCTGCTGCTGCCGCCGGGAATCATGCCCTGCGAGCCTGCCGGATTCACGCCTGCCACAACCACCATCCGTCACCGATAGCTGCGGGCAGGTCTGCGCCACGCCACGGAGACAGAAGGATGCTCTCAAGATGCTCTAACAGGTTGGTGCCCTCCGGGCAGCGCTGACCAGAGGCTCGGCCTGAACCTGTGCGTGGAACAGCGGGTGCCCCAGCGCCGTCCCCAAAATCTCTGTGCCGTGACCCGCTGTGGGGTAGAGACACCTGTCCCTCTCCTCGGAGTGGCGCCAGGCGCGGCGCCTTCCTCCCGCCAGAACTTCTTCTCGGCGGGATGGAGACCGAACGCAATCCCTCTTGTGCTCCGTCTCCGCAAACACCCCCGACCCCCGCGGACCCGCCGGTCCCCCGTGGGGGGGTGGGGGGTAGCCCGGCTCCCGCCGCCCGCTCTCCGCTGGCTCCAGCGGCGCTGGGGGGAGCGGTCCTCGGGAGGCGGGATGCGGGGGGAGCGGTCCCCAAGGGATGCCCGGCCCCGGCCGCATCCATCTTACTCCGGCGGCAGCGGGAGCCCCAGGCCCGGCCCGCCCGCGCCGCGGCGCCGCTCACCCGTGCGGGGGTCGAAGGTGACCACGAAGACGGCCACGATCTGGTCCTCCTCCGCCTCCGCCCGCGGCGGCCCCGCCGCCCCCGCCGGCCCCTCGCCGTCCCACGGAGCCGCGCTCCAGCCCCCGACGAGCCGCCGCCCGCCGCTGCTGCTGCTGCCGCTGCTGCCCGGCTCGGCCGCGGGCGGTGGCGCCGACACCGCGGGGCCCTCGGCCCAGAACAGCAGCGGCGCCTCGTCCGAGCGCTCCACCATGGCCGGGCCGGGGCGAGCCGAGAGGAGCTGAGCCGAGCCGAGATGAACCGAGTGGAGCCGAGCCGAGCCGAGCCGGGACGGGCCAAGCCGAGATGAGCCGAGTGGAGCCGAGCAGAGCCCAGGTGAGCCGAGATGAAACGAGTGGAGTCGAGCTGAGCCGAACCCAGCTGAGCCGAACCCAGCTGAGCCGAGCCGGGCCGCGCCAAACCGAGCCGCACCCCCCGCGCCGCACCGGCGGGGGGCGGGGCCGCGCCTGGACACGCCCCCGATGGGCGGGGAGGGCGGGGCGTAACTGATGGGACGGGGCTATGGGCGGGGCTTGGACCAGGGGGCGGGGCCTGAGGCGTGACGCTCCAGGGCGGAGCTTCCCGGGGAGATCCCGGCGGAAATCCCAGCTCTGCTCCCGGAGGAGCACGGGAGGACTGGGGGTAGCTCGGCTCCCCGTGCTGCTCCTCCTCCCACCGCCCACCTTCTGTCCCCCCAGGCTGTGTCCTCAGAGCAGGAAGGCTCTGGGGGGACCCTGTCGGGACCATCCTACCGGGGGAGCCAAGGGAGTTGGGCAGAGCAGCCTCAGGGCCAGGAAGGGGGCAGGCTCACACACGCCCTGAAAGCCCCAAATCTGAAGGAGTCAGGGATACTGATCCAGTATATATTGATATGTATATCATCATCATGGCTGGGCTTCGCGAACGAAGATTTGGGAAGGGCTCTACCCATGTTTGTTGCAAGTGCGTTGGTGGCTAAAAAGGCCAATACGAGACAGGCATGTCCGGTTGCAAAAGGCACAGCAGAAAGACTCCTTAGGTGGTATATTCTGCAAGGCACGATTCTTTCTGCATTGTCTTTTCTCCTCAAGGGTGATCCTGCGTGCTTTCTCAAAAGCATCAGCAGCGTTATAGATGGTGTGTCTCCAGACCTCCCGATTGGAGGCCAGAGTAGACCAGTTATGTTGATCAATATGGCCAAGGCTGAGATGTTGTTTCAGGGAGTCCTTGTATCTTTTCTTTGGGGCTCCTCTCTTGCGGCAGCTGGTGGCAAGTTCACCATAGAGCAAGATCTTAGGGAGGTGGTGATCTTTCTCAGCAGGGTCAGCTTGGAGAGATCTATCATATATATGTGATGTGTATATCTATACACAAACGTGGTACAGAAGGATGTGAAACATTTTTAGGAGGAACAGGCACAATCAGCTCGAGGTTGAAAGATGGAGACACAAGCATGACCAAGGCATCCACAGGCAGCCAACTTTTTGTAATTACCGTCCTCGTTATGCTACCACCAATGTCATTAAGTGTCATTAGGTTTAATTTGGTTCCGTAGGTCTTCCTGATTAATTCAATTACCCAATTAAGCAGCCCACAATTAAAAGGAAGATATTGTAATAAAAGCCTTAGTTGTCCAACTTTTTTCCTGTTGAGCAGCTCTGAGTGTTCAATACGCCATTAAGAAACCCATCATCCAGTTTCCTCTGCAGTGGGATTTGGTTTTTTCCTCTTTTTTTTTTGGTATCATTAGCATCCATTTGCTGCGAGCTTCATTTAATCCAGCTCCAACACTGAGTGGGCATTTTGTTTCACAAAGTCCATGCACAAGTTTACTGTGCAGAGCTATACACCAGAGTAGGTGGTGTTTAGCAGATGGAGTTTTTCATAGAAGGTGACTGGTAAAGGAAAAAAAAAAAAACAAACCCTGCACAATATTTTGTTACTGTATAAAGAAAAGCCAGATTTTGCAAATACTTGGCTACATGCTTTGCTTTAACCATACAGACAGTGCCAAGCTTCATTTGGATAAATATATTTTTGCATGTTGGTGATGCTAAAGTGACAGCTCATTTCTCTCTTCTCTTTCATACTCATAAATGTCAGTCCCCAGTGATCCAGGCAGGAAACAAATACCAAATAAGAATTCCTCCATGATCCACACGAGCTGTTTGTGATACAGAACTGTTCCTGGTCCCCTTTGCAGTGCAGTCACACCAGTGTTGTCCCAGCTTGAGGGAGGGGATGCAGTGGGAAGAGCAGCCAGTGATAGGGAGCAGAGGCTGCCAGTGCTGGCCCCGAGATATGTGAAATGTCATCACGCTCTGAGTTCTTGGATTTCAGTGAAAAAACCCTATGGGACAAGAGACTTGGAGGTACCACAGCTATGTCAATAGCTTTGGCCAGCAGTCTGGGCCTGCTGAGGGCACACTGTTTGCTAGGTACATGCAAAAAACTAAGGCCACATTTTCTACTTTATTATTTCACCAAAATTGAAAAGATCAGGCCAGGGGATAATATTACCCTTTTAGAAGAAAAACCAAAATTAACACCTTTTCACTTGAACCGAGGGCTAAAAAATTGTCATCAGATCTTTGGGTAGTCCTCCAGAAAACATATGAAAAGAAAATGTGGTGGCTTTTATTTTGAAGATGCAAGGTGAACAAGTTGGGCCTTCTTTAAACAGCAACTTTTCTCCTTTATGTATCACATCCCTCCTTAGAAAAATGGATGTTGCCTATAAATCCCAAGGGAAAGAAGAAAGAAAAAAAAAAATTTTCAGGTGGGATTGAAAACTGTGGTCTGAAGGAGTTTCATTGTTGGGTTATTAATGAACATGTAGTTATGGGGACTAAAAACATTATTTCTTCAGACTTAAAATAACACATTCCAACCCAACACTCCAAGTACCGAACATCTGATTAGTACAGTCAACTCACAGCAGTACTAAAGTGGTCCTGGATCTCAGCTGGCCAGATGCTGCAGGGACAGCTTGTCATAGCAAAAAGCAGCTAGTGCTGGCACTCCCAGGCTTTTGGACCTCGCTCAGGGTAAGGCACAGGGAGACACAGCAGCTGCATTTCAGGCTCAGAGAGGCTGCACGGCAGCAGCAGGCTCTGTGCCTGCAAGAAATACTAGGAATACAAGAAATACTGGCTCTCTGAGCCAGTTGTGACCAGTGCTGAGTTCTTGGCATGTCCTCCTGGTACCGTTTTGGGAGCCTGTATCAAATGAATTGTTCATCACAGTCTTAACAGGCAACTTCAGAGACCCATATAGCCATACTTTTCATTCAAAGAGTGGGTTAGGAGAGCTGAGACACCTCAGGCCATTATGTCCCTTTATGTTCTGGTGGGAATTTTCCTTGATGTGTGCATAGGAAAGCAGGTGCTGGTTCTGACAAACCCCCATCTCGTCTGGGCTGCAGCCACTTCCAATTTCTGCTTGTCCCTCTAGCAGTTCTCCTGGATGCTAAAAAAAAGGCTGCTGTAACCTCATTCCCAGTTAGTTAAAACTCCCTCCAGTCCCTCTTTGAAGCTCAGACTCACAAAGACATGGATCACAAAGACATGGAAGATCCCTGTTTTTCAGAGAGAAGTGCAATGGGAGGAGACATTGACCTGCTCTCAGTGAGTGGCCCTACCTGAAGGGCTGCCTTCACCGACACAGCCAGCTTCTCCCTCCTCTCCCTTGAAACCTCAAGATGGGAACCCATACAAAGACCTGTGTATGGCTCCTAACTCTCTCCTGAAGTTTTATAAATTATACAGCTATAAATTTCTACATTATAAATTACTGACCCCTCCTTGCAGCCTGCAACTCTTGCCCAAATTAACACACATCTGAATGCAGGAAGTGAAATTCAGACCTAAAAGAAGGAAGTGCAGTGCCCCATCACCAAAAGACTAATAACTTAAACATGTAAAGCCCACAAAGACTGGATCTCTGATGGGATTAACATGGAGCAGACTGGCTGTCAGCAAACATCATTCCCCGCACAGGCCCCAGGAAGCTGGAGAAGGGAAGAGTGTGCAGAAGTAAGGGGATGACTTAGACTCAGAGGGAGCTCCCTGCAGAGTTGATTGCAGGCACAGCAAACCCACATCCACAGCAAAACCCCTCATCCACCAGGCAACTGTGGGCAGGTGCTGCCAAGCTCCAGATGTTTCCCATTAGCATTGGCTCAGGTGTTTGGGGTGGTTATAAATGTTCCAGAGGAAGAGAAGGGGTCTCTGTGGGGTATCTGGTAACTCCTCAGGGCACCCTCTGCTTTTACAGCTGTATGTACCATGGGTTCTTTTTCTCTGGTTGAGAAATTTAAGGTAGAAAAGGGTGAGGGGAGGATTGGTGTGTGTTGTTTTTTAGGATGGGATAGCTTTGTTTCTTTGTGTGATGAGAACAGTGATTAAGTATTAGTGGAGGGAAGAGTTCTCTTGGAGCCTTACTGGCAAAGGTAGCGGCTTCTGAGTTGTATCTGACTTGCACCAATAAGACAAAAGGCAAAATCTGCTGTTACATGAGCAGTAGCTGAATGGATTTGTACTTAGTAATTCTGGGATACTCTTCATTAACCAAGGCTGTCTAATGACACCTATGAGTGATTAAGGCTTCTGTGTCTTTGGGATTGGGTTGGGGGAGTGCAGTCAGCAGAACTGATGTCCTTGATGAAGCAAGGAAGAAGATAGTTAATCTGTGTAAATAATGCTGTCTTCCTCTCCCTCTGACGTTCTCCTTCTAACGAAACAGGTCAGTATCAGCTATACCTGTTCTGTTTCATGTGGTGACATGGGTGACTGGGACAACAGTGACGAATTTGTTCAGCGGCTGGATTTTTCCAGTTGTGGTGAAGAGAGTGAAGACAGAAGCGTAAATGAGGAGGACTCCCTAAGCTTGAGCCCTCCCAGGAGGTCCGAGTTCCAGAAGTGGCAAGAGAGCAGTCCTCTGCCAGCAACCCCCCCTCAGAGAAAGTTTAGTGAGATTTTCCTGAGCAGGACAAAAGCCTGGGTGAGTCCCACCTTGAAGGCTTCCCCAGCCGTGAATAAGACCTGGGGCAGTGCTGAGACACCACTGCACATCACCTGGAAAAAGCTGCAGCTGTGTGACACCCCCCACACTCCCAAGGTAATGGCATGTATCAACGCTCTGCCTGAGCAGGCAAGGTCTCTGGTGTTGCTGTGGCATCACTGTGTGGGTGGCGAGAGGATCTGTTTCCAGCTCTGTGGAAAGCTTTTTTTAATGTTACTGTTGATAGCTTGTACTCTTCCCTTAGAAACTTGGACAATGAGTAAAGGAAGGGCTATTCTGTGGGTGTGAGTAGAAACCTGTGTGTGGGAGCAATTGTGTTGACTCTAAAAAGATGTTGTTAAAACCAATTAACTGGTATTGGGTCAGTCTGAGTTAGAAAACCTGAAGCAACCATATGCTTTGGCTTCCCATGGGCACTTGACACTCTGCTTAAGGAAGTGGATGTCTGTAGCATCTCTGTAGGAGATAATGCATTTCCCTTCAGGAAGCTCATCATTCCAGGGGGAGTTTGGAGATAGGCAGCTACCCTTACTGCTCTGTTCAGCACATTTTTGGATGCAAGTGGGTTTTCTCTTGAAAGTTGGAAATGCTGTGGCTGAGTATATCCTTTATACTAAGGATCACTTATCTACAGAGCTAGTTTCTTAGGAGAGTGATCCCAGACTCTATTTTCTGTGAAACTTCTTGCATAGAATATGATACAACTCATTTTTTGTCTTCTGTAATCACAGATGGAGACTTAGCACCACCTTCTCTGCTCCTAGGTAATTTCTGGTGTGTGCACTGGGTCCTTGCTGTCAAAACTGGCAATGAAGTGTAGCTCTTGGTCCCTCTCTCAATATTCCTGCTCTACTGATGGACTGGTTGTTCCTTTGCTCAAGTGATACACAGCCTATCAGACTTTTTAATACTTATGAGCTAGGATTTGACTTCCATCCTCCTCCAGAAACCTGATTATGTGGATAAAAGGATGATCCTCTGGCCATATATGATCAACTGTGTGGCAATATTTGCTGAGGAGTGGCCTGCCACTCCTTAGGGAAGGAGCAGCTCTAAATGGCATCACTCCAAGAATTTCCTGCAGTGACCCTTTATAAAAAAATCTCCCTAAATCTCACCTTAACATACGTGAGAGGTTCTGGTTTTGCCTGGAGTTAATTTTCTCCCTAATAGCTAGTGCTGTACTGTGTTTTTTTGATCTAGTGCTAACACACTGATGTTGTAGTTGTTGCTAAGTAGTGCTTACCCAAAGTCAAGGACCTTTCAATTTCCCATGCTCTGCCAGTGAGCAGAAGCACAAGAGCTGTGTGGGAGCATAGCCAGGACAGCTGCCAGGAACCAGCCAAAGGATATTTCCTACCACAGAATGTTGTGCTCAATGTATAAACAGGGGGGAATTAGCCAGGAGGGGCCGACCAGCGCTCAGGGATGGACTGGGCATCAGTCAGTGGGTGGTGAGCAAGTGTACTGTGCATTACTTCTCTGTCCTGGGTTTTATTTGTCTCTTTTTGTTGCCTCTTTTCATTGCAATGATAATAATTATTATATTTTAATCATTAAACTGTTCTTTTCTCAATCCACAGGTTTTATCTACTTCTCCCCCCCCCTCGGCCCCATTTCTTCTCCCCATCCTACTGGGGGAAGGGATGGGGTTGGGAACAAAGGGCTTAGTCGCTGGCTGGAGCTAAACCATAACAAGGGTCTAGAACCTTTTCCAGACAAGATGGGCTGCTGGAAGGGGAAGGGTGCTTTCAGTGTGTGCTCTTGTGTAGCTAATATGTTGGCTGGATGCTTCAAGATACGCTGCTTTATAGTTTGTCACCTTGTAGCTCATGAGCAGCAATCGCACAAAATCGACAATTTCTTTTCCTTTGCTGTCATCTGGGAGAAAGGTCTTGGTTTCCAAGCATGCTGCAGAAGGTGGGCTCTAAAGGGCCCAAATCTTATCAACAAGGCTGGGAGCATTGATTTTGGAACATTTGAAGGTGATAGAAAGGGTAAGAGAGCAGAGCCACATCTAACTGCAGACAGATGAGCACCAGAGCCCCAGCTGGGATGCATGGCAGGAAGCAGATGATTGCATTTTGTAGGTTTGCTCAATCCTGGAACAGATTGCTAGAGCTGGTTATGGTAGCTGCCCTACACTGCATGGCAGCAGCTACTCTCAGATGATGTTACAGGGAGACAAGTCTGCTGGATTGTGAAATAAAAATAAAGCCCCTGTAGAGCAGACAGGAATTGCATACGTGCACACATCAACAGGCTGGAATGGTATTTGAGATCCCTTCCTTGGCTTGTGGTTAGACTGGAATTTAGCCACAATCCTACACAGCTTCTAGGCTGCTGAGTAAATTGGGCTTGGATATATACTGCTTTTAATACATCCATAAGCAGGATTTTCCCATTCAGGAGCAATGAGATGCAGAGCTTGAAAAAGAGATCAAGAGTCATTTTCAGGGTCACAGTAAACAAGGAGCCAAATTTTTAAGCACAATATAGAAATAAAGGAATGTCCCAGAAGTAGCTATATCCACGAGTGCAGCACCAGTTAGGTGGATGTAGGATACTGTATGCAGCTTTAGGTTTTTTATCTTCAAAAACTTTTGTTGAGAGAAAAGAGCAACTCTAGGTGTGAGTGAAGATGTGGCTCTGGGATCATAATAGCTAGACTACTGCTGGACTGGAAAGATATCAGAGTACCTTCATCATCAACAGGGAGAGTTCTTGAAGAGCTTTTAAAACTAGAGGAAAGCAGTATATTAAAAACCCTCTAGAGCTAATATTGTTCTCTTGAAGCTGAAACAAGTCAAAACCAAACTGATGTTTTTAAAAAGCTGATGGTTACTGAAGAGGTTAGGTCAAACTGAGTAGATTTTTATGTCTCCAACTCAAGAGTGATGTGCTTCTCTGAAGGTTTTGGAATAGTAGGTGAAACCCAATAGTCTGTCTTCTGTGGGAAGCTGAAGTATAGAAGATCCAGAGGCTTCTTTTGAACTTAAATTTCTGAAACTCTCTTTTTTATTCATGAGGAGAAATGGGATTTGGTTGCTTTGCCAGTGGCCATACAAAAAATATTTCTACCAACTTACCATGTCTTAAAACTGCTTACTGTTGGAGAACCAAAAGGAAACTTGGGTGGTGTTCCAGCTCATCTCCTGACAAACCTGTTCTGACCAAACTGATGCAACAGTCCACGCCTGACAGAACTAGGTCTTCCATGTTAATGTAACATACAATGCAATTTCTATGTTTCTCTAGGTGAGAAAGAGGAGCAGCTGGCACCTCTTGAGGACTGTGCTTGCCAAAATGGCTCTGCAGGCCTCACCCAAGTGAGCAGGGAATAGAATCTGAAAGGGCTAACAAAGAATGAAATGCTTTGTGGAAGAAGAAAACCATCAGGACTAAACTAGGGACACAGGGATTTAGGAGTCAGCGGTCCCAAGGAAGGGAGCTGAGTTCTCTGAGGAGAACAGAAATTTTGTTCTGACATAGCAGATGCAAAAACATTTTTGCTGTTTATTTTCCACTTCTTTTTCCTCTCTCAATACAGAGCCTGTTATCAAAGACACCTTTTCCTTCATCTGGGATGAAGGTCCCAGCCAAAGGCTATCGACAGCCGAGATACGCTCCTGGTGCTGACTCAGATGACTCTACCCAAGCTTCTCTTGTCAACATTAATCCCTTTACACCAGAGTCGTATCGACAAATGCTCTTTCTTTCTAATGGCAAGAGGAAGACCAGAGAAGAGCTGTAAGTGAGCTCATCTTAAACAGCAGACTGGAAGCAGACTGTTTGAAGGAGACAAGTAATGGAGACATTCAGTATCTGCACTTATTTGCTAACAGTGAATCATTCACTTCTGTAGTATTCATTGGTGCAGAGCAAACATTACTAGACATGTAAAGGTAATGAAAATATGAATAAAAATCAATCACTTCCTCTGTTCAGAAATGTAAGTGGAGGATCAACAGCTAACCTCAGTTCTGTGACTGTAGCTTCACCAGTAATAGGGTGTCCAGGAGAATGATGCCTCTGGACAATGCCACTCTGTTGTGTGGGCAGTACTGAAGTTGCTTTGTGGAGGCTTTCTAGATGGAAACAAAGATTTTCTAACCTAGGACTGCAGTCTTTTAAGGCCTTGACTAAAAACTTGTGTGTTAACTCTATAAAATACATTTTAAGCTGTGAAGCAAAGTTGGAGGTTCTTTTGAAGGATGTTTTCATGTCAAATCTCAGTTGCATTGCTTCACTGAAATGATTACACCAGACTTTCCTAAACTTCTGTTGTAGGAAGGATCCTCGTCCAAGAAGCCAGATTAAACAGGAGCTACCTCCACAGGTCAGTGCCTCTGTATTTCCCTCCTGCAGAGTGGATGTGATGCTAGCAGAGACTTAGTGTTTAAAATTTATTCTGTTATTGAAATATAAATCTTGACATCATGCCAGAGGATGAATACTTATGTCAGAATCATTCCAAGGTGAATGTTTTGTTAACATTTGTTTGAGATGACAAACTTGGGAGTGATTCCTATCTCTAAAGGAAACTCGTACTAAAGCAGATCTGAAACTTTGACAAGTAATACTATAAAACTCATTGATTTTTGGTCAGGAGGTCTTCCTGGGAAATATAATTTGGGTTCCTCAAAGGGAACTGTATTACTAAACTGCTGAGTTAGCATAAATAGGGATTGTACCACTGTGGTTCAAAAAAGCAGGTATATTGCTGTTCCTATGAATTGGTGTACTGAGCATTTTTGGGTGTTAAAGGAACATGGCTTCTACATTGCAAATAGCATATGGACCTGCACTGCAAAACCACAAAGACTCAGCTGTGGATAAGTACTGAGAGCAGAGTTTGAGTTGCAGTAGTACTGATGACAAATCTCTGAAGCAAGGTGGCAAATTCTGTACTCCGTGGGGAAAATGTCCAGTGGGGGGGGGGGGGGGGGGGTGTGTGCCTTGGGGTCCAAGGGAAGGCCCCACCACACCTTAAATAGCTACAGGACAGCAAACTCTATCTTATAGCTCCAAACAGAGTCCTCTTGCTGTTGCTGAGTGCTGTACTTCTCTGGCAAACCTCAGCTGTAGCCTTGGTGTGAGGTCCCATCTGCTCCCAGCTGTGATGGCAGAGTTGGGCAGTGGTGTGGGAACCCATGTCCCATAGTCTTCTTCTTTCTTCCCAGTTTTATCTGGAGGGATGCTGCCTATCCAGCTGGCTTTTGGAAAGCAAGCCAAGCCTCAATTAAATTTCTTCATTTAGATGAGGTAAAAATCTCAATTTTCCTGAGCAGCCCCTTGAAGGAAGTATCTTGACTTATGCAAGTCTGTAGTTGTGAGTTAGGCTTAGAGAAGAATAACGGTACCCTCTAGCCGAGCAGACTGGTATTGCAGGAAAACTGGTCTCCATGGAAAAACTACACCTGCAGAGCCAGTCTGCTACCAGGCAACATCCGGGACTGCCACAATTATTGTTTTCCCTAGAAGAAAGCCTTGAGTAGCTTGTGATTTACTGAAATATTATTCTGCTCGAGTGCTGATTAGATTATGTAATATAGATATAAAATTGTGTACTATGAGGTATCTTTATTCCCAAGCTTTTTAAGATAGTGTAAAATACAGCTGCCTTATGCCTTCACCTGTTGTGAAGGGCTGCTGTTTCATGTGAGCCACATCTTGCTGGCTGTGAGGGCCAACTCTTACCCCCTCCTCTTTAAGGTCATATACCACATACCACCATAATCACAGCAGTGGTTTCTGTGGAAACCACTCTGCCACATGAGCTGCTGTCCCTGTGAGGGATGCAGGAGCATGGAGAAAAATCACTTAGTCTGCTCTCTTGCTGTTCACTTCATGCTCCGCTGCTTATCTTTTCTTTACTCATCTCCCCTGCCAGTAGGCATCACTCTACAAGCAGTACCAGCAGTTCCTATTTCCCTGGTGGCCGTTATTGTAGCAATAATGATGTTCCAACTGTTCTGCAGGCTTTCAACCCTTTGTGGAAAAGTGTCTCTGGGTGAGAAATCAGTGGGGATACAAACAAATACACAGAGACCAGCTAATCTGCCATTAGTCAACAGCTGGTGCTTCAAACTTGAAGAGCCTGAACTGATGCAGAATGGCCTTGCTGCAGGCAACCTCAGCTGCCAGAGTAAAGCAGCTCTTACATAGCTGGAGCCACATGAAGCCAACATTCAGGCCACAAAACTTCTCTCCTGTATTCAAAATAGGCAATAACTCTTACTTAAACACAAATTCAGTACGTGGGTCTGGTTAATTCAGAGGTACTGAATTTCTACCTATCAAATCTGGTAACAGGTCTTCTCAAGCCTTGTCTTTAGGCCAGTTACTTCAGTATTTGGTTGTTGCCTGCTGTTCTTCCCTGACTGACTCCATCAGCTATGGGTCAAGAAACTGGTCTGGGCTGCCAAGAGAAGAGATGAGATGGCAGTAACCCAAGAAGGCTTAGGCACATACATCAAACGAGACTAAAATTCTCCTTAGCTGCAGTTTCTACCTCTATGGCTAGCAAGTCATGATTTTATAAAAAACCAAAACAAACAGGGTCCCACAACTTGGCCTTTGGTAGGTGGTCAGAAAAAACACAGTGTGGTTAAGTGAAAGGTAGTATTTCTAGAAGAACAGGCAGTGCACCTGCACACATGCCTGTGTGCATCCAGATGAGCATCCAGAATGGGAGAGAGAGCAACATGGGTAGTCTGAGAGCAAGTGCTACACACCTCTAAAAACATGACATATAATTTTTTAAGCCTTTGTTTAAATCTTTCAACTTGTACTTGTCTTTGTTTTTGTGACCTTTTAGAGATATCCTCTGAAAGAGAGCAATATGGTTTCCCGCTACAAGAAGGAGTTCCTGGAACTAGAAAAAATTGGTGTGGGGGAATTTGGCTCTGTCTACAAGTGCATCAAACGCCTTGATGGATGTGTTTATGCCATCAAACGCTCCAAAAGGCCTCTGGCAGGATCCTCGGATGAGTGAGTGAGCTAGCTAGAAACTGCCAGTTGAAATGATGGGCATGTTCTTGAGAGGTGTGATGGGGAAGGAGGGAGTGTGGATCTCAAGGTATCTGAGGGATGGCATGAGCAAAAATTGGCTGCTGTTGCACTTCAAAGTAACAGAAGAGTGGGGGAAGACGGCACTGTACAACTATTGGATATAAATGTCTAAGGAAGGAAGAAGTCCTATGCATTGCAAAGTGAGATGATGGCTTACCTGAATTCCTTGGGTCCATCCAGACATTTTCTTTAAAGTAATAACTGTCAAGTAGTTTGTTTGTGGAAAGTCCCTGCCCTGCTTTATGGCCAGCATTGCTCACATCTGTATTGACCAGCTCATGGTGTCCTGCATGTTAAAGCAAAGTCTTTGAAGTTGCTGCTACTTTTGCCTCTTTAACAAAAGACTTCCTCAGTGATTATTTTATTTGGACAGCTGCTCAGCACACTTGAGCAAGGGCAGGGTTTTTTTCAGCAGCTGTGAGAGCCAGTCTGTCTGTCAAAACTCAAGAGATAAGTCCTGATCACCTCTGTTCCCCCTTCCTCAAGCCAGGCTGCAATCTGGGCTCTCAAGCAGACTCTGCCACTCTGTAACCTGTGCTTTTTCTGTGTGTGCTTCTCTAGGCAGCTGGCGCTGCGTGAGGTTTATGCTCATGCTGTCCTTGGACACCACCCCCATGTTGTGCGCTACTACTCGGCCTGGGCAGAGGACGATCACATGATTATCCAAAATGAGCACTGCAATGGTAAGAGCTGGGACATTGTCAAAGGTTGAGATCTCAGGATGGGTGCAGTTGCCCTCTTAAATATGGGACATTTTGGCTTACAACAAAGCAAACTGCACCAGAGCTACATATCCATGGAGAATCCAGTAAGGGCTCATAAGATCTAGATGAAGCTCTGAATGGTGCCAGTGTATTAGAGGCAGTGAATACCCTCTAATTTCTGGGATTTTAAAACTGTTCCTCTGTGTTGGCTGCCCTGGAGGAGCATTCCCCATGCTGATGCTTAGAGTTCTGTGTGGGACTGTCCAGGTAACATCTGATATAAGTGACTCAAGAGCAGATAACTTAAAGGCCATGTACCTCAGCAACAAACTTGTCTTAACGAAGGTGGATAAGGATTGGAAGAGTGGCTACCTGGTTTTGAGGAAGGCATCTTGACTAGGAGAAAAGGGTTGACAACTGCAGAGGAATGGAGCAAATAATGAGGCAAAGTGTAAATGGGGTGCTGCAGGCAGGGTGGGACACTTCTTGAGTTTGCCCTTGGCCACAGCACTGTTTGAGAGAAATTTAAAAGGACCCATCTGGCTACCAGGGGAGCTGAAGGCAAATATGTAATGCTCATCTTTCAGCTGCACCTGCAGTCCTGGGGCTCAGTGAAGAGCTGAAGTGATAGCTGTTTGGAGTAATGCTTTCAAATGTGGTGGAGGGAACCATGAAATATGGTGCTTGTTGCTGCAGCACTGATGTATTGCTTGTGTTCTAGTGGATGAGTATCTGATATTAAAGGAGAAGTGGTGACAAGTAGGCTGATGGAGAGAGGAGCCATGATATTTATTAGTGCTAAAATAGCCAGAGTGCCTCAATGGAGACCCACAAAATTCTGTGTCTGTGTTGAACGTTACATTCTTCAGTCAAAAATCTTCTAGGACGAACTTAATTTTCTTGCTCCAGCATTCATATACCTGCTTCCTGCTTGTAAGCATGGCAGAAGTAATTAACTTTTCCACTGTTCACTCGAAGCACCATCAGTGTCACTACCAGGCCAGCCCTCCTGGTGCTGCAGTTGCTCAGTCCTTGGTGAGCAGGAGGAAGGGCATTCTGAGGCAACTGAAAGGCTGAAGCTAAATGGTGATGTCTAGAGCATATATTAGCTGGTCTGGTTCAGGTTTGCCAGTGCATCCTTGCAAGCCTGCAAGTGTTCTAGGCAGTAGTTTCTACTAAGCCGTTACAAACATGCTGTTCTGTAAAAACCTTTGTGAGGTCTCAGACTGCCTGTTTTCACCTAGGTGGGAGTCTCCAAGATGTGCTGTTGGAAAATGCAAAGCTGGGGCAGTATTTCCTGGAAGCAGAGCTGAAGGAAATATTGTTACAAGTCTCCATGGGGCTAAAATACATCCACAACTCTGGCCTTGTGCACCTGGATATCAAACCTAGTAAGTATAGTGCACTTTGTGGAAGGTCTTCCTAGTGAGCCTTCAGGGGTAGGATCTGTAACAGATCCTTCTACTTGGACCTATCATAATGCTTCAAAGGAAAGAAGACTTGCCCTAAAAGGTAAAAGTCTTGTGGTTTGGGGGGGGGGGTGGTGGTTTGAGTGGTTTTTTTTCTTTGTTTGTTTTTGTTGTTTGGTGGTTTTGTTGTTGTGGTGGTTATTTATTTATTTTATTTGTGCCACTACTGCTGCTTTAAAAGTGCTTCTCTAGTAGTCAGCATCATTTTACTTTTGTCTCCTGATCTCTGTAATCCTGGCTCATGGGAATCACCTTCATACCACTGGAGCAAGTAGGGCTGCTAATGAACACGGGGACTTCCTTATTTGCTTCTGCCTTGTTGCACAACACTTGACTTTTGTAAGTGGAGTTACCCTGAGGGATTAAGTTCCTGCAAAAATAGTAACAAGGTTTCCTTTCTGCAGCTGAGGATGGGCACCTCCTGGGCAGTGCTCCCCCCAGCCGCAGAGTTAATATTCTTATAGTGGAGCTCCTTTTTCCTGCTGAAATCATGCTTTTAGCTTAGAGGGCAGAGGGAGGGGAAGTTGATTTCACTAGGATATTTTCTGCACAAGATACAGCTGTCTTCTGCCAGCTGTGTTGCTGAATACGTGAGCTGGGCAGAAAGCAGACTAACTGGTGGGAAGCATGTGCACAGTTTCTCTGGCTGCAAAGCTTAACTAGTGTGACAGGCGGGATTTTTGGAAAGTTGTCAGGCTGATGCAGTCTGACTACTGATATCACGCTTGCTAAACTTTTCTGTCCTGCAGGTAATATCTTCATCTGTCACAAGCTGGCAGTTGCAGGCCCCGCTGGGCAGGAGAGTGACAGTGAAGATGAATTCTCTTCTGGTGTGGTGTATAAGATTGGTAGGTTTTAGCCAGCTTTACAACTGGTTTAAGACTAGGGCTGCCCATTAATGCTCGATACTGCTCTGTCCTGCTGGCTGAAGAGACTCGCATACAAAACTGACAGCAAAGTCCTGAATGCCCCAGTTACCTACCAGAATTAATTCCTCTGAGGAGACAGCTCCTAGAAAACTCATGAGCTTGTTTCCCAGCCCAGATTCCTGAGTAGGAGCAGGCTTGCTCTTTTACTTAGTATTTCGTTGTTGCTCTTACTGGTGCCTATAAGATGCAGGCTTTTATTGATGGAGAACTACATCACTTTCTTCATTACATTCCAGTTGCTTGTTCTTTGTCCCAGGTGACCTTGGACATGTGACATCAATAACAAACCCTCAGGTGGAGGAAGGAGACAGACGGTTCTTGGCCAATGAGATTTTGCAAGAGGTACAGCTGCTGGCAGGGCAGTGGGGAGCAAGTGGGGAGAGATCAACTGCAGTGCAGTCATTAGTGTAGTGTGTTCCTCACCTTATCTCCTCTTTCTTCTGTCTGGTCTGGCTGTGAAATCAGCAGAATTAATGCTTTATTATGAACAGTATAGGTATGGGTCTTATCATGTAAATATTTACAATACTTTATAAGTTACTATCATTGGATTATTGCAACTATTGCCTGCGAGGAATTAATGAGACAAAACCTTATCGGTTTGGAGTCATTTAATTTGCACACTCAGCTGATATTAAACTGCTGGATGTGATTACTGAGGAATATATTTAGCCAGACAGATGCCTTGTACAACAAACACTGAACAGGTAGTGGGGAGAGGTGAGAGGCACAACACACCTCTTAAACTTGACTGTAGTCTTGTCACTGGCCAGTGGAAAAAAAAGAAATCTGTATTGAACAACCAGCTTGGATGTGTTCGTCAGCTCAGGTACTTAAGTGACAATATCTGTGTTTGCAAGTGGCTTTGGGAACTGCTAGGTCAATGTATGAGGTGCAGCCTTGAGTTGGGCTTATTGCCTTGTGGTGAAGGGTGGAGGTACACATCTGTTAGGCCACCCTCTGGAGTTGCTGCAGTGATCATAAAGTGGGCTGCAAGTTTCTTGCAGCTGGGTGAAAGCCAACATGCTGTTAGTTACACTATTATCTGCTGACAATGTTTTTGTCCTAAAGAGAAGGAAGCAGCTCACTGGAATGGTGAAGCCAGTGCCATAAACATACTTGCTTGGCTGTTTCTTTTTGAGCTTGAACCCCAACCACCTTTGTTTAGTATAGCAAGATGTTCCCTTTCTATAACCTTTCACCTTCTCTCTGCAGCAATACTGCAACCTGCCCAAGGCAGACATCTTTGCCCTGGCACTCACAGTAGCTCTGGCAGCTGGTGCAGCACCGCTGCCTCACAACGGGACCATGTGGCACCACATCCGCAAAGGCAACATCCCACCAATCCCCCAGAACCTTCCCTGGACCTTTCTTGAGCTCCTTAAGGTGAGGAAGTAGTCTCTGACAGAAAGGTGGCTTTTGCAGTTGTCATGTGGCAGGAGTGTTAAACTCTGAACTCCTTTGCCTTCTAGCTCATGATCCATCCTGACCCAGTGGAAAGACCTTCTGCCACAGCTCTGACTAAACACCCTGTTCTCCGTCCTTCATGTGGAAAAGCTCTGCAGCTCCAGGAAGAGCTAAATGTGGAGAAATGCAAGACGGCCATGCTGGAAAGGTAGGACTGGCTTGGGCATGAAGGGGAGAAGGCATGGGCATAACAAGTGCTGGTCACTAGCCTTGAATGTAGGGTGGTAGTGCTGAGAGAACACAGATGCAGAAATACCCAGGCGGGTCCTGCACCTGGAGCTGGGAGGATGGTGAGGCTGTAGCAGGGACTTGCAGTGCCCAAACAGCTGTGCTTCAGTTCTGGCTCTGAGGAGCTGGCTGAGTTAGAACAGGGAACTTGTGCACTTACTGCAACCACTGGTGATGGAAAATATTGATATAGGAAGCAGCTGGGGGCAGATGAGGAATTGATAATGCACTGAGATAGTGGTCTGGCACAGAAGGAAGGGAATATTCAGGCGGTGGCAGACATCCTTTTTCCCCTTGCTCCCTCTCACTGATGTTGGCAATAATGCTTTAAGGTGCTGGGACCTAGGAACTGCCCCACCACTCCTCTTAGTGCAGTAGTCAGCTGGAGAGTAGGTTTTTTTGTGTAGACAGAAGAATGTATTCTCTGGAAGAACAGCAAGGGAAGAAAGGTGCTATGGAAAAGAAGCATGTGCCTTTATAAGTTTTGCCATTCATGAATTTCTGAAACAATGGGAGAAAAACTGAGCTAGGGGCTCTTCACGCTGGTGCCAGTGTGTTGCTGACCTGATACATAGTTTTCTTTTGGTAAATCTCTAAAGACAGTTACAGTAATCTTCATGTCACCCTCTTGGGTGAAAAGCTGCCCCCCTCCTGCAATGCTGGAGTACTACAGTAACCCTCTTGTGCAAGATTGTTCATAGCTTGCTTCTGTAGCTGATGGGGATTCATGCATGACCCGGTTTTCTTCCTCTCCTCTTCCTTCCATCTCCCCCCTGCAGGGAACTTAAAGCAGCTCGCCTTGCCCAGACCCTCATGAAGGACCAAGCCTTAGGAAGTGCCAAGTTGCAAGAGTCTGAAACCTCTTCTAAGCAGAAGAGCAAGCGCCTGGTGGGAGGGAAAAGCTGTCGCTCATTTAGCTTTACTCTGGGTTACTGAATTTTTGTGTTGTCCAAAAAGCTCTGACTGCTGAAGGGCCCTGTGAAAGCTGAGGGTTTGCACCGACCAATACCCCATATTATCTCTCCCTGTCGTGTTCTTTTTTTTTTTAACCTCCTTAGTTATGATGAGGTGTTGGCTGAGGGAAGAATGACTGGCTTACAAGTGTTGGATCAGGGAATTTAAGGTTATTGTCCCCAGTCTTTTAAGTGTTAAATTTCTTGCGTAATTGGTCTTGATATAGACTAAATGTAGCTCTGCCATACAAGGGAAAGGATGGCATTTTCTCTCCTTACTTCTCTCTTTCTTTAGTTGGGCCCTGTTACTGATGATTTTGTGGTCTTAATGCTCTGGCTGAGTGTATCTTTAAAGGGGCAATAGTGGCTGTACATGGAGACAGCATCTACAGCAGGGCCCTTCTAGGAGTGAGTAGGCAGAGACTATGGCTGTGTTAACTACACATCAGGAGACAGGCTGGTTACATAGCAGTCCTGGTGGACTTGGGATGCAATTGGAGTGACCTTTCACTGATGGGGGACAAAGAGTAAAAGGAAATGCTGAGTTAAGGAATGGAAACTGAAGAAAAACTTTCCTTCCCTTAGCTTTCAGCAACAAAATTCCTATAGCTGGGTAAGCTTAGTCCCTGATGCCGAGTTGTTTTCTGTCGATCGGCAAGGACTCCTTGTTCAAGTGGGGGAGGTGACTATGGTGTGCTGGTAGCTGGGTCTGGTACCCGCTTCTCTTCCAGTATCTCACACTTGGTGCAGCTGCCTGCCTGCAAACTGCACCCTTTCAGCAAAGATGAGGGGAATCAGAAAGGGCTTTTCCAGGTTTTTGGAGCTGCCCATGTAAATTGTGGTATGTATTTCGTATTTATTAGACCTCACACTACACCACCCTCCCCTTCCCCTCTAAATGTGTATTTGTGGGTCCTGGTCGGCTGTGTCCTGGTCGGACAGAGTGTGCTACACTGTTACGAGGGAGAGTGTAAACTTGGTAACTCGCTTATTTCCACTTTTTACTGAAGTTTGTTTTATGATGCTGGCTTTTAACTGTTAGATCCTATATTGTCAGAACTGAAAAGTGCAAATAAACATTTTATCTTAATTTTTTTTAACCGATGACGGTGTGACTTCTTTTTTTTTTTTTTTTTTCCCCCTCCTCCCCCGCCACCCGAGAGCTCCCGGTCTCCCGTGGGCCGGGCGAGGGGGGCGAGCCGGGTGGCCGTAGCAGTCGCTGCCCGTGGGCTCTCCAGCCCCTGTCCCCCCGGGATGGGGCGGGTTTCCGCCCGGAACCTCCCGTCGGTCCCTTTCCTGTTCCGGGCGCGGCGGCGGCGGGAGAGGTGCGGAGGGCGCGGGGTCGGGCGGCGGGAACGGGCCGGGGCTCCCTCGGGCGCTGCTTCAGCCCTGCTTTTCCCTCCGCAGGCTCGGCGGAGAAGGCATGTGGCGGCGGCCGGCGTGGCAGGTACGGCCGGGCGGGGCGTGGGGAGGCTCTCCCGGGCAGGCACTCGGGTCCCGTGTGCCCGCGGCGGGAGGAGGAGGAGGAGAAGCAGCTCCTGCCGCTCTCGTCTGTCTGGCAATGACTCTCCGGGCACGGCAGCGGCCCGGGAAGGGCGGAGGCGGGAATAGCCCAGGGCCCCGGGGCCGCTCGCCCAACCCGGCCGGGGCTGCAGCCCGTGAAGATGTTCTTGTTTGCGCTCCCTTGTATTTCAGGGATGCAAATGCCGGGCCTTAGTTACTGAGCTACTGGGAAAATGGTGTATTGAAAGGTCTGGCTTTTGCGTGGAATGAGTCTGAGATGATTTGAGTGTGTGTTAGTGAGGCACGCAGATGCACCAAAGAGCTTTCGTTTTGCAGATTGCATTTCCTCTGGTTTAGCTCCTCTGTTCATATGTCACAGGAAATGAGCTTTTTTTCCAGTTCCTGCACATGGGCCTCTTGCAGGAGTGTTCCTGGGCTTTTCTTGTTCCCTCCTTTCTTCTAGGATGGGATATTTGCTGGCATCAAGGCAGTTCCTTTACTTTTTTTCCCCACTTGTGCTTAATTGTGGCACTGGGTTTTTTTGTCCTTGATTTGCTGTCTGCTCAGGAACAACAGGGGTTGTCAGTGTATCCTGCCACTCATGGCGGTGGATGGATGTACATTTGGGCATGTCTTGTTAATCTCTGAGGTAAAGCAGAAAGTTGATGCAACTATCAAAACTGTTTTTGTTTCCGAAAACCAAAGCCAAAAGAACTGAACAACCACTGTACTTCAGACTTCTTCCTTCCTATTTATATATTACAGAATAACAGTAGTTACTGCAGGTCCCAAAAATAATTGCTGGAGATGTACCTGTGGACCACCCTTTCTCCTAGGCAGCTTTTTAATGCTGCTTTAACCAGATATTCTTTGAATAATCCCCCTGGCTTCATTTAGCTGAATGAATTTCTTTTCTCCCCTTAGTTACAGGGAAAAGAACATACTTGCAGAACCTCCACAAGTGTTCAGAAAATGAGTCATTAAGGCTTCTGAATGCTGTTCATACTTTGTGTCCTGGAAACTAACATGTGTCTGTTCCTTCAGGTGTTTCGCCAGTTTGTGAGACATGACTCTGATACAGTTGCCCCATTGGTACTGGAAAGATGTAAGTAGCTCCTGAGATGCAACTTACTGTTACTTGTTGTGTTTATCTCAGTTTTTTGGAAGTCTGAAATATGGCGGGAGAGAAATAGGTAGGTATAGTCGCTCCTCAGTGTAGTAACTAAGAATGTGTTGTTTCAAACACACAGGCTCTTGAGTATCGTAGAAATGTAGAATCAGCCGGGTTGGAAGGGACCTCTGAGATCATCAAGTCCAACCCTTGATCCACTACCGCCGTGGTTACTAGACCATGGCACTAAGTGCCACATCCAATCTCATCTTAAAAACCTCCAGGGACAGAGAATCCACCACTTCCCTGGGCAGCCCATTCCAATGTCTGATTACCCTCTCTGTAAAGAATTTCTTCCTAATATCCAACCTAAACCCCCCCTGGCAGAGCTTAAGATCATGCCCTCTTGTGTTACTGATAGTTGCCTGGGAGAAGAGACCAACCCCCACCTGGCTACAACCTCCTTTCAGGGAGCTGAAGAGAGTGATGAGGTCTCCCCTGAGCCTCCTCTTCTCCAGGCTGAACAGCCCCAGCTCCCTCAGCCTCTCCTCATAGGACTTGTGCTCCAGTCTCTTCACCAGCCTCGTTGCTCTTCTCTGGACTTGTAGCTTCCTATCTGGTCTCTGTCAAGTCAAGCAGCACTTTAGAGGGGACAAGAGAAAAGCCCTGACATAGAGTACCACCTGTAAAAAGCAGGTGGTTGTACTTTATCAATGGCAGTGAATTGAGCCTGCTGTTGTCATGATTTCTAACACCTGCCTTTAGGTGTCTCACGTGCTTGTTTCCCAGATTCCTCTCTGCCTGGGGGACTTGTTTGGGTGCTGCTGCCCCAATATGATTTCCTCCAGGTGTACACTTCGGACTTCACTCTTCACTTCACATGCTTTTGCAAGAATGATACTCCCCTGACCTCCTCCAGCTGTCCTTGAACATGGAGAAGGGATAAACTGTGTCTGCCTAGGCCTGGTACCTGTGTCAAAACTAGTCACCCTCTAATTCAGAGGATGGAGTATAATAATGCAACTGTGTTGTTTTAAAGGTACTGTTTTAAGGAAAAAACAATGCAATGCTATGGTTTTATCATAATGAAAAAAAAATAAAAGTCCAGTCAAGTAAATGCAAGATAGTCTCATGACATATGGATATGTCTGTGGAAAAAGATGACAAAAGAACATTTGGCTGAGTTATTTAGTGATAATGACAGTACAGGCACAGTCAACCATCTGCTGGGGGCCTGAATAAGGCAAAAGTCACAAGAGCTTGAAAAGTGGTTAGGAGGTGCAGAAAGTTTTGGTTCTGGCCCTTCACAAAAACTGCTGGTTTGCGGCTTGCATGATTAGAAGCATCATAGTTCACCTGTATATGTGTTTATTCTCTTGTTTCAGCCATGAATCGTGTCCAGTTACTGGGTCGGGTTGGACAGGACCCTATCATGAGGCAAGTGGAAGGAAAAAATCCTGTTACCATATTTTCTCTTGCAACCAATGAGATGTGGCGGACAGGGGATAGTGAACTAGGACAGGGAGGTGAGTCTGCAGCGAGCAACCTGCTTTTGCTGTGTTCTGAGCTCATGTTTGCATGTTCAGCAGCACCACGCTTTGTCCTTGTGCTGCTGTGTAAACCTCTTGGGTGCAGGAAAGTTCCTCTGGGGTCAGTAGAGATGCTGGTGCTGTCTCTTACTGATCCCCAGCAGCATGAAGAGAGATCTGCCTGTCAACCTTCCTCTGGAGAAGAGAGTGTTCAGTTGGCAGTTTGTCACTGTTGGGGTTTGTCAGAGGTGTAGTGGGTCCTCTCCTCTTGTTTGTGTTTCAAGAGAGGAGGAAAAAAAAAAAGGAAAAAATATGCATTTTGTCTCTGATTCTGTCATCATTCTGAAGCTACAGATGTCTTGTTTTCTCTAATTTCTATTCAATGTAGATGGGGGGGGGAATTATAGTACGAGCACTGTATTCCAGGAAAAGTGATCTCCTGGTTTGAACTGTGCTTCTGCAGAATACTTTCATGTGGACACAGATGAGTGGAACATTGAGTTCTGGAATGAAGTGGGATATTGAGTGCTAGTATACTTCTGTTTTCAAGTCACTTCTCAGAAAAACTAATTTCTGAGTCTTGTACCAAAAAGAGTTTGGCATCCAACTTAGTTATTTTTATGTAACTTAGGTGATGTCAGTCAGAAGACAACGTGGCACAGGATCTCTGTCTTCAGGCCGGGCCTCAGGGATGTTACCTATCAGTATGTGAGAAAGGGGTAAGTGAATAAGAAATGTGGCTGAGGATTTAATGCCTTTATAATTGATTAATGTAATAATTATGGTGACCAAGAGCTATGCTAAGATAGAGGTGCCATAAAATGTCAGCAGACCTGCTACAAACAACTCCTACAAATGCCTGTGTACTTAGATTCTGAATTCAACCTTTTCATCAGGAGTAGTGATGAAAAGGACAAGGAGTAATGAATTCAAATTTAAAGAGGGGAAATTTGGATTAGATTTATAGATGAAATTCTTTACTGTCAGGGTGGTGAGGCACTGGAACAGGTTGCCCAGAGACGCTGTGGATGCCCCATCACTGCAAGTGTTCAAAGCCAGGTTGGATTGGGCTTTGAGCAGCCTGGTCTAGTGGAAGGTGTCCCAGCCCATGGCAGGGAGTTTGGAACTAGATGGGTTGGAAGGGACCTTAAGGACCAAACCATTCTGTGATTCTAGATATAGAGTGGAAAACAGCAGCACAGTTCTCTGACCAGAACTAAATTGTTTTTTTCAGTTCTCGAATTTACGTTGAAGGGAAGATAGACTATGGTGAATATACAGATAAAAACAATGTGAGGCGACAGGCCACAACAATTATAGCAGGTAAGGAGTGACACATCAAGGTTCCCCTTGCCCTTTTAAGATGGAGAGGGAGTGAAGGGCCTCTGAAATAGAGCTTGGTTTGTCTCCATCCTCAGTATCCACACTCAGGGATTTTGAGAGAATGAATAGTCTGTACCAGTAGATTTCCTCTGGCCCTGCTTGTGAAGATACAGAGTATACAGTTGCAAACTGTTTGCATCCTTTGCTCACACAAATCAGTTGGTGCAGGAGGCAGATACTGTGTTTTAAGAACACTGGAATGTAGTACTACAGGTCAGGCAGATTCCTTTTCTAAGCAGAGTTTGTTTAGTAGCTTTGTCTCAGTTTGCTGGAGTTTTTTCTTCCTGTTAGAGACTGGAGACTTCACTAGCTTTAAGGACCTCTGTGGAAGATTGTTTTATGTGCAGATAACTTGGTGGAGAATTTAGAAACACCTTGTTCTGGTAGCCAGTAGTGATAAGAAGAGCACAGAATGGGTAAGGAGTACACTTGTGCCTTGGATAGACACAAGGAAGAAGAGAAATAGAAAAAACTCTTTCCTTGAACATTTAAATAGCGTGAGCATCCCACATCTTTATTGTGGGTAGAACTGCTACCTTGTGGCTTTTGAGGGAGTGGTAAATTATTTGGGTATTAGA